CCCCAAAACCCCAAAACCCCAAAACCCCTTTACTAAACTAAATATATTTAATATTAATTTTTTAGAGAACTTATAGATTTAATGGCTTCTTAGTGCTGTTCTTTGATTTCTTCTTTATTATCTTTTTCTTTGGTTTCTTTATCTATGAGCTTTTCAGAGCCTTGTCTGCTCATATTTTAGAGTGTTTCCAATTTTTTTGCTTGGTTTCGTGCTCTGATTATGGTATCGATAGCTTCTTTGGCAAATCTTGGCTAAATCTTTGTTCCAGTAGAAGCCTCTCTCTTGAAACTTCTTTCATGTGGGCTTCTTTCCAATGAATTTGCAAAAATTCATTATTCCTTGAGGCTTTTTTGTGTATATCTTCCTCTTAGCAATTTCAAAGATTACTCCGACAAGAGTTAAATGAGGTTAGTATGTAGAAAGATTTAGCAATTCGGATTTTCATTAATGTTAGCATTGTTCTACTTCTCTTGGCTAAGCGAAGAGAAGAGTCATCAACCATCATTCTAACAGGTTCCTCATCACCTACTGTGAGCACTCTTCAGTATTTAGGTAGAGTCTCAAAGAAGCACCAAACAGTGTTGGAATTGTTGGTTCCATCTATGACTATTCTAACCCAGTGCTCATTGTAAACCAAGTCAAGACTAACAGATACCCTTCCTCCTCGAGTCTGGTTGATGATAGGATGGGGCTTTCCTTGTGGGAGCCAGGAGTAATGAATCTTTAAAAACTTATCGAAGGAGCATTAGTCAAATCTACTACTCAGTACTCATTTCTCAAAGACTCCAGCTCCTTTGATCAAAAGAGGCTCTGCAAAAAGATAGATCCGGGATTCTTGTTTATTGGATGATCTATTTTCTCTTTTTTTTAAGTTATACTTAAATTATTTCTATGAAAAGTCCTTTACTTTATTGTATGAAGGATTAGTGCCTTAACCATCTTTAACAAGTTTCTAAACTATGTCAATTACCATCGGAAACGTTAGAGGCTCAGCAAAAGTCCTGATCATAATCTGTTCTGCAATTATCAAGCATTGGGGCTCATTCCTACTCTCAAAATACTATATTTTCTTCTTTTCCAACTCTTTTATTTCATTTGAGAGCCTGATAAATGTTGAAGGAGCAATCCTCAGAACTTGATCCAAAACATTGTTGAAGAGTTTCTGAATGCTACTTTCTTCAACCAAATTTTCGAGTCCTTCACTCAAGAGATTGGATTCAGAAATGAGTTCTTCTTTACTGACATTTTTGGCCTTATCTTTCAGAATATAGTGATCGAGATTTCTTCCTTCTTGTCCTGAGCATCTTCGTTTTGCTCCATAAAACTTCCAAGTCTGACTATAAATCTGTCTTCTCAAACTAATCATAGAAACCACAAAACTTCGAACTCCAAAATATTTTTCTTTTAAGTTCTTTCTGAGGGAAAGAGATCTAGCAAGTTCTTATTCAAGGCTCAGTCTCTTTATGAGGATTACCGATTTATCAGAAAGTAGGAGTAGGTTCATTCTCTTTCTTATTTCCTTCGATCCAAAAATATTACCATCAGATGCTGATCGTCTGATCTATAATTCTACAAAAATTTAATCTGTAGTGTTAAACTTCACCTGGTGAAATCTTCCTTCAGAAATTGATTCACAAGCTGGTACTTTTTGGATTTCAATGATCTCTAATAACTTTTATAATATATAAAAGAAAATTGGAGTTTGCAAAATTTAGCTCTCCTGCTTTGGAAATTACTAAAAGCACATACAGATGGAATTTAAAGAAGTTAACCCAGATCAGGAGGAACAAAGGCACAATTGAATTCTGAGATTTACAGACTACTGACTGTGGAGGGAGGATATATCTTACTTTTCAAAAGAAGGCATCCATGAAATTCGTCAGCGATATCTGATTTGGTGAACAAGAGGTTTTAATTCTTGGTTGAGGGTTCTTTTGAGTAGCAATATAGGCTCTGTAAGCATCAAATCTGAATTTCTGTAGTGTATCCCACATTGCAAGTTTAATATCAGATGATTAGATGAAGTTCATCATTGAGAAGTGTGATGGTGAACGCTATCTACCTTCCAATTGGCAGAAGCAAGTATCTGACAATATTTTCTCGGAAATCTATGTATTCTCTTTGTTTTAATTAACTTCCATAAGCAACTCATTAGATCCAGATGGGTTCCAAGAAAAAGTGAAGAAGGTCTTGAATGCAAGAAAAGAAACACTTTTGAAGGAAAGAAATATCAGCATAAATATTTCGTTTAACATTGCAGGAGTCTTAAAGTCTTCTTGGATGGTAGCAAGTATGGCGATAGAAATCATTCCTATTTTTAGTGAGAAAGGGCAAAAACTATAAGTTGCTCAAAAAGAACCTTCGGAGAAAAGAGAGAAATTCAGAGCTAAACGAGGAGGAGCTTGAGCAGGCTGCGAAGAATTTGAAATTCTTAAAATGGAGATAGAAAATTTTACCAACATCATTGAGGAAAAGAAGAAGCACATTGATGATCTAACTGGTGACAACTAATTCTTCAAAACCCTTTACTCATAAGGAATCATTGATGCTGATGGAAACCCCACTCAAATGGATTCTAAATAACTACTTTGCTGTATTTTCAAGCTCCTCTGCCATGTCACCTAAGCTGAATTCTTTTATCAGTTTGTCTATCTCCTAAGTTTATGATAATCCTTCAGATTGACCTTCTATTCTACATTTGTTGGTTCTTCTTGTATTTTCTTTACCTTAGCTGGGTTTAATAACTGGCTTTTTATTCATCTTCTTGTCTTTGCAATCTCTCTTTGATTTGTTTAAATTTGACTTTTTCTTCTGTTTTATGATTTGTTATCTCTTTTCTTGCTTCCTGTTGCTTTATCCAATGCACATAGATCTGACTGAGAATTTGTAAGAACCGGAATTTCAGTTAAAGAAGTGATTCGTCTCTTAGAAGAAATTCACAGGATCCTAAAATGGTAGTTTTGTTGGTCAAATATCTTTCTTCGACACATGCCATATTTCCCCAAACCAAGTGGAAGGCTATGAACTTCCTTTCTTAAGAAACTCTATCAAGGTCTCTCAGGGTCTATTTTGTGGGGTTCGCAATTTAATTACTAAAATTGGATACTTCAGTCTCTCTGGCTCTTCCTCTTCTTACCTTAACTTTGGCTAGCCTGACTGTTTTCATCAAAAAGGCAAAGCTCATTCTCTTCTTCAATATCAATTAAAACAATCCAAACTAAATAGAAAGATCTGTTGAATGGCTGGAGTAAAATGATAAAAATAAGAAATCCATATTTTGTCGGAATGTTATTATTTACATATATTTGCCCAAATTCTGAATCATAAATTTTCAATTAGCCCTAATTGAGTAGGGGTTTTGGGGTTTTGGGGTTTTGGGGTTTTGGGGTTTTGGGGTTTTGGGGTTTTGGGG